GCTAGGATCAGATAGTCTTCCTTTGAGAAAAATAATTTTACAGCATCGTCTTAGGTGGCTTCCTTTGAGATTTCCCGGCTCCGCAGCTGGGACCCCCAAAGATCCAGATTGTCTTTGGTTAGAGAGACTGCGAGACATGGCATCGAACCGAAGTTAATGGCGTGAATGCATCATACCTTGTGTGCAAGAATCAACAAAAAAAGAACTCAAAACTGCGTGCATTGAACAAACAAAATATTTCTTAGTCCCTCGGGTAGACTGTTTTGTTCCCCCCCGTCTGTACCCATATTTTTCGTCAACCCGTGGTTACTTTTAGCGTCGTAACTGTAAAGATTGATGTTAAACATACATACGCATATATGAGCCGTAGGAGAAAACACCAATGTTGATAAGACAAACAGAAAAACGAGAAAATCAGTGAACAAATCTGACCAAGAGAATGAGAAGATGCACGAACGCCACTGTTTACGACACTCAGCCATATCACTCAGCGTATCTAACCATCGGTTACGATCATCCTGAGGTCACCAGCGACGGAGCCTACCAATATCATATTTGATAACCGTCTGATGCCAGACTGTACCGAACAAATCGTGGTACAATGATCTTTATAAAAAGAAAAACGCTCCACGATTTGGAAGTGGGCCGAATACTGCCAGGTTGCCCAGGATAAGCCAGCGGAACTTTCTTGGGGAATCCACAACCGGAGCATTTGGCTAAACAAAGCCTGACCCGCAAGGTTGTCCAGTTTACGGCACTGGTGAGCTACAAGGATCTCCCGGTGCGCGACAATAGGATGAAAGAATTCATCTTCAATGCTATACACTTAAACGGGCGACTAGGAGAGGACCCTCAGCCACAGCACCCCACTCCGTGGGTGTTTGTGCAGTGTTGTGTTGCACACTGGCCTCTCCGATGGGAGAGTCACACCAAGAACCTGAAGCCCGTAAGGATGAAAGATGCTAACTTTCGAAGGACAATCTGGGGTTTATTCGAGTGGAAGTGGAAGTGGAGGGATACGAGGGCTGGAACTTATTTCAAGCTGCGATGGATGTGGTCATTGTGTATGCACATAAACTATGAACTCCTTTCCTTTATTGAAAACGATATCCGTGTACATTCCAATTTTCCGCTGGTTAAGGTTCGATTCAGTTGTTCATTGCTGTGTTCTAATTTCATCCAGATTTCTAGTTTTGGGTCGCGCTATTACTATGCGCATTGCGATAGGTATACGAATTACTAGTCCGAACGCTAATTACAACACCATACCGTGTTGTTGTGCCAATGGTATCTAACACGCTCTATCTCTCACACCACCATTCCATGGCACATGATCGTCAGACATCTTTGTTCACATTTCCATTCTTATTTTAAAAGCCGTAAACTTGTTCAACTTCCAAGCGTCAATGGTGGGATGTTATGGAACCGAAAGTGCATTGGGCGATATACATTCCCTAAAACCGAGATCCCTCTCTCTCCTTCCCTTTCAGGCTTCACTCGGCGCCCCAAAAACCCAGGAACGTTCCGTAAACGATGACTGACATTCGCACCCTTGTTTAAAGTTACTTGTTCGATGTTATTGATTTTGTATCGATTTTGTCGGCCTGTTACGAATCTCTCAATCAATACAGTTTTCATTCGCTTCCAGACGTTGCGCGTTCTGTTTCCGCATCGCTGTGAGTGCTGTGAGTAATTGACTTTACCCGCTGCATAACATTTGGCGTCGCGGGCAGGATGGCCTACAGTCTCTTGTTGTTGACGTCTAAGCCCGCAAAAGATAAAAAGCCAGAATTTTTCTCGGGAAACCCACAGCCATTCCCAAGACAACCTGCGATGTTTCGGTCGAGTGACGACTACGACAGCTGGGAGTTCCAGGTTTCGCTCTACCATACGAGCATCGACCCGGAAAAGCACGGACCCTATTTGTTGAGCTTCTTGAGCGAGGACGCCGCGAAACAAGTGAGGAGCGCCGGGATGAACGCTAGAACGCCTGCATCGGACACTTACAGTATCCTGCGCCAACTCTTTGCGCATTCAGATCCCCCTGCCGTCTGGAGGGAACGGTTGTTACGACGAAAACAACACGAGGGTGAGACTGTGGACGAGTTCTACTGGACCTTACTCGAACTTACGGCCAAAGCTTACCCGGATTACTCGATCTCCGAAAGAGAAGCTGTTTGTTGTGAGCGATTTTCTATGGGGCTTTTGGACGACCAGCTGCGGATTCAATTTATGTACAAACCATCCGTCAATCTACGTGAAGCCCTGGAGAAGGCTCGCAAAAGAGAGCAAATGTCGCGAACGAAGCAACAAGAGAAGGAGGCGGCGACTTGCGCGGCGGTACAAAGAAACCCCGCGGAACCCAACACGTCTCATCCAATCGAGAGTACCAGTTCCCGATCGTGGTGCCCCTATTGTGCACGGTTCGGTCGACGGGCTTAACACTGCGGACACAACCCTCCAATGTACCCGCGTGATCAGAAAGGTAGGTCCATTGCTATTGACTGCAAAATTGCTTCTGTTGCCACTGAGTCAGAATCCAATTCAACCCCATTTTCCCTAAAAGGCCGGTTGGAAGGCACCCCAGTGTCCTTCTTGATTGATACGAGAGCTTCATGCTCCTTGGTCAGCGAATACTTAGTCAAGCCCACCCTTACTGCTGATGCGCGACAATCGAGCGTCACTGCGGTCAACGGTTCCAAAGTGTTCATCAAGGGTAGAGCACAGCTGAAGGTGACCCTATCAAGGTTGGAAGTCACCCACCCCTTACTGTGTCATGTTCTCCGATGGGGAGCCATCCTGGGGATGGACCTTTTATGGAAATATTGTGACACGATTACAATCTCGAATACCTCCCTGAAGTTCCGGATACCAGGTGGAGTCCCAAAACAGAAACGTTACAGTACAACNCTTCTTGGTGTGTCATGGTCTCCGATGGGGAGCCATCCTGGAAATATTGTGACACGATTACAATCTCGAATACCTCCCTGAAGTTCCGGATACCAGGTGGAGTCCCAAAACAGAAACGTTACAGTACAACATATCTTGAGTGCTCGGGGGTCCAGGTGAAAAACAGTACAAAACAAGTTGGCCTAGTTCATAAGAGTGTAGAAGAGCTTCAGAAGCTGTATGCGGACATTTTTGATACATCAACAAGCGTTCCCGGCCGTACCCAAGTGATTCAGCACGAAATTGACACCGGAACTCATTCGTCAGCGTGCACGGAGCTTACCAGTTCACTGTGTGACAGCTGGACAAAATGATTTAGGATATGTTACAAAAGAAAGTCATCAGACCATCAACCTCACCCTGGTCGTCCCCTATAGTGTTGGTAAAGAAGGCTGATGGTAGCTTGAGGCTGTCGACTATCGTAAGTTACATGAAGTGACCCGGAAAGATTCGTTGCCTCTCCCGTGCATTGACACCACGTTTGGTGCTTTATTTGGTGCTAAGTGGTTCTCAACGCTGGACTTAGCAAGCGGCTACTGGCAGGTGGAGATCAAACCATCCAATCGCGAGAAAACCGCATTTATTATACCTTCCGGTTTGTACGAATTCGAGATTATGCCTTTTGGTCTGGCTAATGCATCGGCAACCTTCCAAAGGTTGATGAATACGGTTGTGAGGGGCTTAGTACCCGAAAGGTGTCTCATCTATTTGGATGATATCATAGTCCATGGCAGGTCCACAGAGGAGCACAACGAAAGACTGGAAGTGTTCCAGAGGTTGAGAAGAGCAGGACTACGGCTGAAGCCCTCAAAATGCCACTTCCTCTGTCGTGAGGTCAAATTTTTGGGTCATATAATCACTCCGGATGGAATCAAAACGGACCCCACTAAGTGTGACCGTATCAAAGCTTGGCCTCTTCCTACCTTGGTAGAACAGTTGAGGGCCTTCTTGGGGCTAGATTCCTACTACCGGAGATTCATTAAAGACTTCGCCTCTATTGCAGCCCTTTTGCATCGACTCACCACCAAGGGTCGTACTTTTGTTTGGTCAGCAGGGTGTGATCGTGCTTTTTCACAATTAAAGGTCCGGTTGACCTCCCCTCCCATAATAGCACTTCCTGATGTCTCCTGTAATGGGCCCACATTTGTATTGGACACAGATGCTAGCGAGAACGCCATTGGAGCAGTTTTATCCCAAGAGTCTCCAGGGGGTGAAGTTGTCATCACTTACGCAAGTCGCGCGCTGGATTCGTCAGAGCGCAAGTATAGCACCACCAGGAAAGAACTGCTATCCCTAGTATATTTTATCAACTGTTTTCGAGCATACCTTCTGGGCAAGCCAT